AATGTTGAATATATTGTGGACTGCCAGAAGAATGAACAAATCTGTCTTGGAAGAAGTACAGCCAGAATGCTCCTTAGAAGCAAGGATGGTGAGACTTCATCTCACATAATTTGGACATGTTATCAGGAGGGACCAGTCCCTGGAGAAGGACATCATGCTTGGTACAGTAGAGGGTCGGCAAAAAAGAGGAAAACCCTCAAGGAGATGAATTGACACAGGGGCTGCTGCAGTGGGCTCAAACATAGCAGTGATTATGAGGATGGCTCAGGACTGAGCAATGTTTCATTCTGTTGTACATAGGGTTGCTATGAGTCAGAACTGACTCAACGGCACTTAACAACAATGATCAGTGTCCACTGAAAGTTTGATAAAATATTTTGAAAGTGGAAAAGCTCACCTCCTCCAGAAAGTCCTCTTGGTGTGAGTGTGTCTACTCTGATCCCCCTCCTGCTTTCCTGAAAGAGGCCCGCTGCACTATGAATTTTGCACTTGACAATGGCCTTCCTTTTGGTTCATAAGTTAGATAGATTTCTTCTCCTAACCAGATTGTGAAGCACAGGAGGGCAAGGCTCAGGTCTAGGAATTCTATTGTTAGCCCAGCCACATTTGTGCCTATTACGAAGGTCTGCCCACTAAAAGACCTTGAATAAGAGTCAAGCACATTCAAATTCCTGTTCCCAGTGAGCTGGTCCTTATCTCACTGTTTTTGTTGATGTGTGTGATCAAATGGATTCCAACTCATAGCAACCCTATAGAACAGAGTAGAACTGCCCTATGGGCTGTAAGCTTTATGGGAGCAGATTGCCAGGTCTTTTCTCCCGCAAAGCAGCTGGTAGGTTCAAACTGCTGATCTTTCAGTTAGCAGCCAAGTGCTTAACCTTTGCACCACCAGAGCTCCTGCCTTATCTTACCAGGTTCCTGTAGAGGTGAGTGTAAACAGGCAGTGACTAGAACCCTGTTTGCTCACTGACTTCTGTTTAGCCTTTTAGTCTTCTTTTCATGGGTTTTCAGGGGACACTACCCCTTAACCTTCTAGCAGTGAGCTTCTCTCCTCATTCTACCCACTTATCCCAAGACTCTGCCTCAGAGAGCCAAAGACCAATAAATCATCACTGAATGTGCCTTTTGCATCAACATTAAAGAAGCCTTTCTAGAGCACAGTCACCTTCTAGTTTTATGTAATGAGTTAGAACAGATGTATCTCAGCCGAAGGCACAGCTACAGAGTGTGAATTTCCACAGAGTGCTGGAGTCCATGGGTGGTGCAAACAGTTAACCCAAAAGGTTGGAGTTCGAGTCTACCTAGAGGTACCTCAGAAGAAAGGTCTAGTGACCTACTTCAAAAAAATCAGCCATTGAAAACGCTATGGAGCACAGTTCTACTCTGACACACAAGGGGTCACCATGAGCCAGGGTCAACTCAAAGGCAACTGGTTTTAAGAAATCAACTTACTTAAAGAAACTTTCCAGGAAATCTTCTCTAAAGGGAAAAGCTTCCGCCCCTAATGTTTCTTGTTTTATACATTTTTATTTTGGAGTCTAGATTTTCTGCTGTCAGATTAGCTCAAATAAGTCCCCCGAGTCACCCTCTGTGCCGTCTTCTGCTTCAAAAAAATCCATTGCCGTCAAGTCGATTTCTGACTTACAAGTGACCTTATAGGACAGAGTAGAACAGCCCAATAGGGTTTCTGGAGCAGCTGGTAGATTCAAACTGCTGATCTTTTGGTTAGCAGCCAAGCTCTTAACCACTGCACCACCAGAGATCCACCACCCTAGTCTACCATCCACCAACACACTCTCTCGTTCAGCACCTAGGACAGTGCCTGGCACACTGTAGGTGTTTAAGAAATAGCTTTCTACAAATGAATGAATTCAAAAAATTCGCTGAGCCTGAGGGTTTGCTACCTTCCAAGCCCTGTAGCTGCAGAGAGGAATGAAGCTGTGGGCCTTCTGGGTCTTACAAATGAGATAAGATGAACCCACAAAGAATTAGAATAACAACAAGTAAATGGTGACTGGCATCTCTAGAGAAGCACAAACCCAAATAGCTCCCATTACTGACCACCCACAATGTACATACCATCTCCTGTGGCTCCGAAGAGTCCTCAAAGCTAAGTGCTGTTATCTCCACGTGACATAGAAGTTAAATAACTTGCCAAGACCTCAGAATCAAAAAGTGGAGGCACTGGGTGAACCTCCAAAACATTATGCGAAGTCAAAGAAGCCAGACACAAAAGGTCACCATATTGCCTGATTCCCTTTGTATGAAATGTCCACAATAGGTCAATCCATAGAGACAGAATGCAGATTGGTGGTTGCCAAGGGCTGGGGAGTAGGGGAGATTGGGGGGGCGGGCAACTGCTTAATGGGTATGGAGTTTCCTTTTGGGGTGTTGAAAATGTAGTGGAACAAGACAGCGGTGGTGGTTTCACAACATTGTGAATGTCCTAAATACCGCTGAATTGTTCATTTTAAAATGGTTAGTTGAATGTCAGGAGTCCCTGGATTAAGCACTCGACTACTAGCCAAAAGGCTGGCAGTTCAAACCCACTCAAAGTTGCCTCAGAAGACAGGCCTTGGTGATCTGTTTCTGAAAGGTCACAGCCTTAAAGAGCTTAGAGAGCTCTGTTCTACTCTGTGCACATGGGGTCGCCCTGAGTCAGGGCCAACTCAACAGCAACTAATAACAACAACAGTTTAATGTTATGTGAATTTCACCTCAGTAGAATTTATTCTAAGTGATGGGGAAGAAACAGAAAAGAGTAGAGGCACTGGGGTTCAAGCCCAGGCCTGTCTGACCCACAGCCAGACTGAGGCTGGTTCCAAAGAGGGAGAGATGCTCTCCAGCTTTGTCCACCCCGTTAAGCCCAAAGGGGGCAGGTGGCACCCTCTCTCCTCTCGCCCCAGCTGGCCCAGGCCTACCTCAAAGAGCCAGATGAGAAGCGTGGCAGCACCCATGGAGTTCATGAGGCTGCTGTAGTAGCTCAGCAGGGCAGCCCTGCAGCCGCGCACCCACAGGTTGAGCTCCTCGGTCTGGTGGTCATAGCTGTAGTGTGCCGAGTTGTTGGTCAGCTGGTACTGGATGCAGGGCCGCGGCGAGCTGGGGTTGCAGCAGCTGAAGGGGACACCATCCACCAGGTACCGCCCATCCACGTTGCTCTTGATACGACTGGAGGAGAAACAGATAGCCTGAGACGGGCTTCCGGACTTCTCACCAGGGACCAGTTCCTCCAGCCCTGGCCTCAAAGCTGAGCCTATTCATTCATTCACTCACACAATAAATATTTGCTGTATGCCTACTATGTGCTGGCTACTGTTCTAGGCACTGAGGATAGAGCAGTGGACACGCAGCCGACGCCCCTGCCTTCCTGGAATTTATGCTCTAGAGGGGAAAGGCAGATGCTAAACCAAGACACCAGTGAACGGGAGCATAGGAATTCACCCACCCACGCTGAGTGCTGTGGAGCCAAGCAATTAAAGCCTCAGGCAGAGGGCAAGAGGGGTGAAATGGGAAGGAAGTGCAGCAGTTGGAGAGGCTCTGCCGGGCACTGTGACTGTCAGACTTGAGCCCCCAGCCCCTCTCCAGCCTTGTCTCCCCGTCACAGGTCACTGGTGACCAAGGCCCCTCCAGCCAGATCAGTTCTGCTCCTCAATATTTTCCAGAAGGCCTGCTCTGGCCCAGGGCTCGTGCAGGGGCTGGGGTGGAGAGGAGTCCCCGGCTGGTGCAAATGGCTAACGCGCCTTCTCGGCTAACTGAAAAATTGGAGGTTCAAGTCCACCCTGATGCAACTCAGAAGAAAGAACTGGCAATCTAATTCTGAAAAATCAGCCGCTGAAAACCCTATAGAGCACAGTTCTACTCTGACACACAGTCCATAGCAAGTGGTTGGGGATGGAGACACACACAAGGCAGGCACAGTCCTTGCCCTCAGGCGCTCACCCTCCATGGTAAACTCCGCCCCCACCCAGGTGGAAGCTCCATGCTCATCTGCAGGATGTGGCCTGCACCCTCGGCTGCCAGGCACAACAGGGTAAGTCAGGGTGGCTGGGCGGACTCCCAGCATAACTTTTGTATTTCCAGCTTCTATGTTTAGAGCACACCATACATAGCATGGGGTCAGAAGTCTCAGGGAAAAGTCCCCTTCCCCGCCGGGCAGGCTGGCTGTGTTCTCTCCTGACCTGAGCCGGATCATGTGGGCATCTTTGTTTATAAAACGTCATCGATATGCACACTGAGGATCTGTGCACTTTACTGTGTGCATGTTATCTCCAGTAAAGTTTTTTTTTTTTTTAAGTTTCACATGAACAATGCAATACATAATCACAGCCGACCTTTACAACACGAGAAGAGAAAGCATGTAATTGTTTAAGTGAAAATTATTTTCTACGATGCTAATTGAAATGGTAAGTATACTCTTAAAAAAGATGTCAGTATTTAGCATCTAAATAAAATCTCTTGAATACAAAGTGTCATCCTCTCCTTCCTGTCCCCCGTTCCCCTGGCTGGGGACAAACCACTGAGACCAGCTCAGCAGGCACAGACAAGCAAACATGGACTCTGCAAATGTTCTCTTTCTTCCAGGGTGTGTTGGTTTGCTTGTTTGTTTAACCCAAATGGTAAGATTACATGCATAGTGTCTTGAACCTCTCTTTTTTCCTTAGCAATGTCTCAGAGATTTTTCATTTCTGCCCGTGGAGAGCGTCCTTGGTTTCTCTAATGAGCTGTGTGGTTGGGCCATGAGCTCAAACCACTGATGGACATATGGATTTTTCCCAATCTCCTGTTCATGCAAACATGGTACATGGGTCATTTTGCAGATGTGTGAATGTATCCAGGGGGTAAATTTCTAGAAGAGGCAGCCCTGCATCAGAGGGTAGTTCCATCTGTGATCTTGTCAGATTTCTCTCCCTGGGTGTTGTGTGATTGCACTCCACCAGCTGTGCCTGAGAAAGCCTGCCCCCCACAGCCGCGCCCACACAGAATGCTGCCGGTCTTTTAATCCTTGCCAAACTGGTAGATGAGAAATGGTACCACCAGTCCAGGGGCAAGGACGAGAAGGCAGGAAGGGACAGGAAAGCTGGTAATGGGGAATCTAAGGTCAAGAAGGGGAGAGTGTTGACACGTCGTGGGGTTGGCAACCAATGTCACAAAAAAAAATGTGTATTGTTTAATGAGAAGCTAGTTTGCTCTGTAAACCTTCATCTAAAGTACAGTCAAAAGAAAAATGGTACCTCCAGGCTGTTTCAATTTCCATTTTTCTTATTACAAGTGAGGTTAAGCATCTTTTGATGTGTTTAAGAGCCATTTCTGGTTTATTTTCTGTGAACTATCTGTTGATCTCCAGTGCGATTAAGACCCCAGGAAGGCTGCACATGGTGGCCTCCCCGGTTCTGAAACAACCCTCACCTGGGTTATGGCGACAGTATTTTCACAGCCCCTGAAGCCCCTGACCTCTGCTTTGTGGACAGGACCCACTGCCTGGAGGGCGGATGGCCCTGGGTGGCATGGGCATACAAGATGGTGATAAGGGCAGGACCACTGGGTTTGGCTCTGGCTCTGCCATAAGCCATCTGTGTCCCTCTGGACAAGTTCCTTAACCTCTCCAGGCCTCAGCTTCCTTATATATAAAATGGAGTTGACATGAGGAGCTGGTGAAATGATACATGTAAACATGCTTAGAGGAATGCCTTACATGGTATGTGTGCAACAAACATGAACTATTGTTATTACTCAGACTTCCTGGGTGGCACAAGCGGTTAATGTGCTTGGTTGCTAACCAGAGGTTGCAGGTTCGAGTCTACCCAGAGGCTCCTGAGAAGAAAGTCCTGGCGATCTCCTTCTGAAAAATCAGCCATTGAAAACCCTATGGAGCACAGTTCTACTCTGACATACACAGGTTCTCCATGAATCAGAACTGACTCCACAGCAACTAGGTTTTGTTTTTGTTTTTTTTCTTTTTTTTTTTTTGGTTATTATTATTACTCATGGGCAAAGGCTGACTCTTCCTGCAAAGAAAGAGCCCACAACACTTGCCCTCTCTCTCTGTGCCCTCAGGGAGCCCAAAATCCAGCTGTGACAATGGGACAGACCCCATACAGCACTGCCAGCAGTCACCATAAGAACTGTGGAGACTGAACAACCAGGTCCTCAAGGCGACAATCATGTCTGATATTGTCGGTGTATCCCAGTGCAGAGCTCACTGCCTGGGATGGGGGTGCTGTTAGACATGGGCTGGGGAGGGAGTAACTAGGGCTAAAGCTTGTGCCTGTTCTCTGATTAGCCCACTCAGCTATCGCTCCGCAGCTCCTTGCTCAGGGCCCAGCCAGGTGGGGCCCTGGGTAAGTGCTGCCTGGGGGCTTGTGGGCAGGACAGAGGGCAGGCTGGAGGGGGTTGTGCAGGGGTTGGAGGGGCCATCAGCTTGGGGCTCCTGTTCCCCACGTGAGGACACCTCTGAGCAAACCATAGTCTCTGCAATTCTCCCTCCCACCCCACAACAAAGCCCAACACACACTCCTCAAGGCTGGGTGTCTCCAAACTCAGAGCTGTCTGTCCCTCTTCCTGGCTTGCGGGCTGTCCCTTGAGCCCTCACTCACCAGCACAGTATCCCAAGTGACCCGTTGGCTGCGTCCCCATGCAGAGGATGGGTACAGTAGAGGGCAGAGCTTTGAACCCCAAATCTGCATTTGTGAGCCATGGAATGTAACCTCTCTGAGCTGTGTGAGGTGGGATGACCACATCTACCTCTCAGGGGTCTTGGGGAGGTAAGGCTTGGTATCTGGTTGGCCCTCAGAAAATGTTGACTCCTCCCTGCTTAGGAAGCCCTGGTGGCACAGTGGTTAAGAGCTTGGCTTCTAACCAAAAAGTCAGCAGTTTGAATCCACTAGCCACTCCTTGGAAACCCTATGTCTGCCCTTAGGGTCACTATGAGTCCGAATCTACTCGACAGCAATGGGTTTGGTGCAACGGGTTCCTCCTTTAGAGCCATCCAACGTAAGAGCTGGACAGGACCTCAAAAACCACCAGATTCTTTTACAGAGCAGGAAATGAGGCCCAAAGTGGGCAGGGCCTCGCCCAAAACCACAGACCCCAGCCCACAGCAGTTGCCCACTCGTCGCATCCAAGTCGCCCCCTCAGATCCTTCCTGCCTGTTGGCTTTTTCTAGTTGAACTTCCTGGGAAAGTGTGAGTTCCCTCCCCTGTCCCAGTAGCCCTTTCCTGGCCCCTATCTCCTCTCCTTATGCATTTCCAGGTGTCCCTAAACTGGGGTAAAGCTTACAGATCTGCCTCATACACGTTACACCGGCGGTCATGGGGGCTGAGGCCAGCAGACACACTGGGTGGCCCTCAGTTGGCAGGCTGGCCTCCCAAACAGCATCCATCTCTTCATCTCACTTGGCTCACCCCCAGCAACAAGCTGCCTTGCTGGTCTCCACAGGACAGGGCCATGTCTCCCCCCTCAGCCTGGGGCTCCCTGAGGGCAGGGCCTGGATCAGCTTGGAGGAAGCAGGCTGACTTGGTGGAGGTTGGGCTGCCTGGGCCCCCAGCCTGGGACCTCTCAGGGTTCCACACCTCTGGAACCAGCCCCAACCCAGAAGCATCAGCTTGTTTACTCAGTGCTTGCCCTCGTTCCAACCACAGATTAAGGTCCCACTCACCCTCTTAAGAAAAAGCTAGGCAGCGGAGATCTCCTTAGGTGATGAGCTGAGTATTTATATCAAGGAGTGTCTCCCAGGCTACAAATCTCTATAAGTTTCCTAGGATACTCAAGAAGGGAGGGGGCATACTAGGGCAGGCCCTGGGAACACGGGCAGAGCGAGGGAACCCAGCCCTCCTCTCAGGAACTGCACTGGGAACGCTAGAGGGTGAGGACCTCGACTTTCTCTACTCCAGTAGAGAGCTGTGTTCATCCTTCGTGTGAGAACAATGCCTCAGGGAAGCCCTCTGGGCAGAGATGTCCCAGGGGCACAGCCGCAGTGTTCAGAACCCTGCCCACGCCCGCCTGCCCATGCCCAGTACCCGTGTCTCTTGAGGACTGTGGGCAGCTTCTCCAGACTATCCACCCTCTGACCAGTTCATGGCTCCAGATCACCTCCCGCAGTCCCGAGGTCCAGGAGGAGTGTGGGGTTCGCTCCAGCCTTCTTACCGAATCCTCCAAATTTGGTGGGGGAAGTAAGAAGGAGAAAAGAAGAAGGATTCTTTTCAAAAAGATCATGGTGGTGAATGATAGAAGTCCCTGGGTAGGCAAAGAGTTAACACGCTCGGCTGCTAACCAAAAGGTTGGAGGCTCGCGTCCACCCAGAGGTACCTCAGAAGAAAGCCCTGGCAACCTACTTCCCAAAAATCAGCTATTGAAAACCCTAGGGACACACACAGGGTCACCATGAGTCGGTGTGGACTCCAAGGCAGCTGGGTTTGTTTGTTTGTTAGTGAATGATAACCCTACCTCCTTCCCCTGCCCTCCTGCTAGACCCTACCCCAGCTACTCTGCCATCCGATTGACACCTCAGGATCCTAGCACTGATGGTGCTGCAACAAAACCCTGAAGGAGAGAAATGCCTGCCAAGTGGTTAAGAGCTCGGCTGCTGACCAAAAGGTGGGCAGTTCGAATCCACCAGCCGCTCCTTGGAAACCCTATGTGACAATTCTACTCTGTCCTATAGGGTTGCTAGGAGTTGGAATCGACTCGACAACAGCGAGTTTTGAGTTTGGGGATCTCACAAAAACGAGTATACTTCGTATTTTTCAGAGGAGGATTTTTGTGGGCCAGTTTTGTCACATGAACTTATTAATACTCCTAAATTAAGTAGCTAAGATGTGAATAGAAAAAAAAAATTTCAGTGTCCCTGTGTGGGGTAAAGTACCAGGCTACATTCTCTCGTTCATTCCTGTAATCATTCATTCATTTGTCCATTGTCTGTATAAACCAAAAAGGGCTGTGTCAGGCACTGGTCCCAGGCGCTGCCCCTCAGGCAAAGCCAGCTAACTCTGTGACGCTTTCTGGACACAACCCCAGGGCCTCACATCCCTCATGGACCCTGTCCACAGACCATTCATTTTAAAGTTTGAGAAACGATGCTGTGATCCTTTCTCTGCGAAAGTGGCCCCAGAGCAGCCCTTTCGGGCTGTAGCACTTGGCAGACTAGGAGACACCAACAAGGGAGCGAGGTCCCTGGAGGGTCTGGAAAGGAGAAAGGCATTTTAGTGCTACCAATTGTGTCTTGGGACCAGCTTTGTGGAAAGTTAAAGCAAACACACATTTTCTTCCTGGAAATTTAATCTAGGGAAATAATACAGAGAGAAAGGGGGAGAAAGAGAAAGAAGGCAAAAGTCACAAAAATGTTGACTGCAGTGTTATTCAGAATAAAGGTAAATAAGAACGACCTAAATGGCTACCTAAGGGACATGGCTAAGTGTATACTGATATAGTCAAATAGTGGAATATTATTGTTGCTATGTGCCGGCAAGTCAATTCTGACTCCTAGCGACCCTATAGTACAGAGTAAAACTGCACCATAGGGTTTCCTAGGCTGTTATCTTTACGGGAGCAGATCTCCAGGTCTTTTCTCCCGTGGAGCCACTGGTGAGTTCGAACCATCAACCTTCCATTTAGCAGCTGAATGCTTAACCACTGTGTCACCGGGTCTCCTTGTAATATTCTGCAACCATTGAATATGATCAGTTTGAACCTTATGCAAATGTGATACTATTGAATTATAAAATGAAGCACTCAAAGTTTATTTGTACTATGGTTACACTATGTTGTCATGTGAATGTTAGCAAGACTAGACTGAAATGTGGAAAATTAAATCAAATTGATCAGTTGTGGGTGAGAATCTGTCTTGAATTTCCATTCCTGTTTTTGTTTCTCTGCTTGTTGTCCCCATAAAAACCAAAAAACCAAACCCATTACTGTTGAGTCGATTCCAACTCAGAACGACCCTACAGGTCAGAGTAGAACTGCGCCATAGAGTTTCCAAGGAGCACCTGGTGGATTTGAACTGCCGACCTTTTGGTTAGTAGACATAGCTCTTAACCACTACACCACCAGGGTTTCCACTGTCCCTATGGAGAAACCTTTTTCCCAAGTCAGCTGAGTTAGGATAATTTCACACCAACAAGTTGCTATGGGACATTGAGGCAGTCTTGATCAAGCTAAATGTCTGCCCGAAAATCTAGATAAGCTGACCATCGGGAGTGGAGCAATCTGGACAACTCCGCTCTGGGACAAAAGGGGATTTGAGGATTACATGGAGATTTTGTAAGTCTCTCCAAGGACTTTCTCTATGCAGACGATAATCAAGGAAAATGGCAGAGGAAAAATGAAAAGCCCCTTCTCTTCCGCTCACAAACGTAGCCTCTGCCCCCCACCCTAGGAATTCTGCTCATCCCTCCTGGGGGGCAGGCCACGTTATGCTGTCCCTGTGAACCTGTCGTCCAGGAAAGCCAGAGTGATTGACAATCCTCTCCTTGAATGGGATTTGTAGCAGACTAGAAGTAATCCGCAGCCACAGAGAACAAAGTCCCAAGTAGTGACCTAGAATCTGAATTCCCTTCCATTTGAAGTGCAGGTAAGCTAGCCACCTGGGGTTCATTAATGCTGTCTAGGCTTCAAGCATACCCTGCTGCTGGTGCCCAAAGTCCTAAGTTCACGTCTCTCTTGGACTTAGTCAGAGGAAAAAACATTCTGGGATGCACAGCTGAACTGCCAGCTTCAGCCCGGATATAGGTAGAATTGGAGAGAAGAGGTGAGGGAGAGCAGGCTCAAGACCCATGACGGCGGTCCATTGGGAATACAAGTACGCATGCAGTTATGAGATTCTCCTTTCTCACAAACACCTCCTTACATCCCATCTCAGGATTTGATTTTTACATTTGCCAAGAATACCTTAGAAACATTTCATCATGATGCACTATCATGATTTAAGAAGTAAACATCAGCAGGCATTTAATGAGAATCTACTACATATGCCAGGCTCAGAACAGAGCTAAGAGATGACCTATGGGATCATCTATTCCAGAGCCTTCGTTTAATACATAGGCAAAGGAAGGCGATCTGCTTCCATAAAGATGACAGCCTAGGAAACCCTATGGGGCAGTTCTACTCTACTAGGGTCGCTATGAATTGGAATTGACTGTACGGCACACAAGGACAACAACAACAAAGCAAGGCCCAGAGGGACTTGCCCAAGGTCATACAGCTAACTAACAACTACAGCCTAGATCTCCTGATTGCTCCCATTCTCTGCTCTCTCCACCATATGCAAGCACAAACACCTTGGGAATGGGTGTTCAGGGTCAAAAGATTGGAAAACGTGGGAATTAATTGGAAAATTTAAGCTTCTGGGACTGAATCCATCTACGCTGAGTGAACGAGACATGAAGCCAAATAATGTCTCAGTGTACGTGACCTTGGAATAACCCATCCCTACTTCATGACACAGACAACTTTCCTGGCCACGTCTTCCTCCCTGGGGACTACCATCCAAGAAATTTATGTAACTTGCTACCTTCTTCCCACTTTAGCCAAGCATTAGGTCCAATCATAGGAAGTCGCCATTTTTGTAAGTCAAAAATAGTAGAATATTGGGTATTTCATATGATTCGACCTAATTTTGTTGTTGTTGTGAGCCAATGAGTCGATTCCGACTCACAGTGACCCTATAGGTCAGAGTAGAACAGCCCCCATAGGGTTTCCTAGGCTGTAATCTTTACAGGAGCAGATCGCCAGATCTTTTCTCCCACAGAGTGCCTGGTGGGTTCAAACCACCAACCTTTTAGTTAGCAGCTGAGCACTTAACCATTGCGCCACCAGGATTCCTTGTTCAACCTAATACACCCTCACGTATGCAGTAATAAGCAGTGCACACAGAGCCTGATGGGGAAGAAAAGGCCCTGGATAGAGGCGGGTCAGAGGCCTGGCCCTCTGTGTTCCCCTATGGCTCTGACCCCGGGACTGGAGGCCACTCACTCTTTGACTTCTTTAGAGGAAAAGTCCAGGTAGCGGTTGCTGATCCACTGAATCTCAAACCAGTCCCGAAAGCCGTTGTTGCCACAGCATTTGAAGTCAATCTGCAGCGTGTCGATGGTCTTCTTCATGAAGCACCTGCCAGGAGTGTCTGTGTCCCGGTAGTATTTCATGCCATTCTTGAGCCCGTCGGCCAGGGTGCTTTCCAGCGAGCCCCGCATCAGAAAGCAGCAAAGGGACACGAGGAAGAGAGCGATGTTGAAGAGGACGCAGATGGCCAGGTACGGCTTCAGCCAGGGCTTCCACTTATCGTACTTGGCAGGGTCCAGGGCATCATAGCAGATCTTGCCAGCCAGAGAGTTGAAGACACAGGACAGCACCCCCATCCCGATCAAGGAGTTGGGCACAAAATGGCTCTCTGAATTATTCATCACATCGCTCCTCTTCCGGAGTTCGATCTTCAGGAATAGCCCGAGGCTGAAGATGATGATGCCAGCCAACACGGAGAGCCAGTTCATGAGCCAAAGCCCTTGGGCCAACTTGACCCTCTTCTTCTGGTCGAATTTGACTTTCAGCAGTGCCATGCTTGCAGGGGGTAGTCCTGGTAGCCTCCCACAACCAAGCTCGCACTCCTGACCTCAGTGAGCTCGGGGGCTGATGACTCAGGGCCTTGGGAAGGGTGCAGGTGGCTGCAGGGAGCTGCTCTGGGGGCTGCCCATGTTGAGCCCCCCTTAGCCTGAGAGCCCCGCTAACCCAGGCGTGGAGGCAGTCAGCTCGTGCAGGGGCTAGTCCTCGGCGTCGTTCCTGCAGCTCCTCTCTCAGCCAACAAGGGACAGCTGAACACTGCAGATTAAAAGTGAGATCCACGAGACATCTTGCTAATCTCTTTAGCCAGGTTCATCCCATTAGATAAAGCCCTGCCAGCCTCACAACATGGCCAAAAGGAGCCTCCACGTACACACTGGAGCAGAAAGCTCTGGATTCGGCTTAGAGTCAGGAGCAAAAAGGGCAAGACTGGCCAGAAGAAGGGCTTTAACTGGAGGTCTGGCTGAGATCATGCGTCTCCCCAGAAGCAAGTTTCCAGGCCTCGCTCATTCAGAAGATTCTGTCTTGCCCACAGCTCTCCCTTAACCCACATCTCCCATTACAGGGCATGCTGCTGCTGTTAGTTGCTGTTGATTCCAACTCATGGTGACCCATGTGTGCAGAGTAGAATGCTCCATAGTGTTTTCAAGGTTGTAACCTTTTGGAAGCAGATTGCCAGGCCTGTTTTCCAAGGCACCTCTGGGTGGGTTTGAACCACCAACCTTTTGGCTAGTAGTCAAGGACTTCACCATTTGGGCCACCCAGGGACTCATTACAGGGCATACTCATTGCCGTTGAGTTGATTCTGACTCATAGCGACCCTATAGGACAGAGTAGAACTGCCTCATAGAGTTTCCAAGGCTGTAATCTTTAAGGCAGCAGACTGCCACATCTTTCTCCTGCGGAGCGGCTGGTGGGTTCAAACCACTGAACTTTCGGTTAGCAGCCGAGTACTTAACCACTGTGCCACCAGTCCTCCTTATTACAGGGCATAGTGAAGCATAATTAGTTAGGAATAATGACAAGCTGGTTTCAAGAAATCTGAGCCGTTGGCTAATCTAAGGTATCTCTTGGTATCCCCATGGCACTCTGCCCAGCGCCAGGCCAAGGACAGGTGCTCAATGTATGTTGAATGAATGAATGAATATATAAAACTAAGATATCTTTCAAGGGAAAGTGCAAGATAGATAGGCGGATAGATAGATAGATATGTGCACATGTATATATACACATGTAAAACCAAACCCATTGCGGTTGAGTCAATTCCAACTCATAGTGACCCTATAGGACAGAGTAAAACTGCCCCTTAGAGTTTCCAAGGAGCTGCTGGTGGATTTGAACTGCTGACCTTTTGGTTAGCAGCTGAGCTCTTAACTACTGTGCAATCAGGGCTCCATATACATACATAAACCAAAAACAAACCCGTTGCCATCGAGTCGATTCCAACTCATAGCAACCCTATAGGACAGAGTAGAACTGCCCCATAGGGTTTCCATGGAGTGGCTAGTGGATTTGAACTGCTGACCTTTTGGTTAGCAGCTGAGCACCTAACCACAGTGCCACCAGGGCTCTGATATACATATATAAGTAGTCATAAAATAAAATAAATTTTATTAACTCAAGGCAACCTCATGTGTGTCAGAGTATAACTGTGCTCCATAGGGTTTTCAATGGCTGATTATTTAGAAGCAGATCACCAGGACTTTCTTCAGAGGTGCCTCTAGGTAGAGTCGAACCTCCGACATTTTGGTTAGCAGCCAAGCACGCTAACCATTTGTAGCACCCAGAGACTTATTAATCTATCGCTATCAAAATTTAAAATTTCTATAGGACAAAAGACATCATTAACGAAGTTGAAAAAGAAATGACAGATTGTGAGAAAAAGTTTGCCACACATAAAACGAAGAATTAAATATGTAATTTTTTTTAAAAACTCCCAGAAATCCATAATCAAAGATGCTGGGAAACCAACCACTTCTGAATACTTGTTAATAAAGGGAAAGAAACAAGCAAGTATCCTTTCTTTTTTTGTACTAACTGTACTTCAGGGCAAACAAAAAGTTAGTAAGTGAAAGCTTCTCTCTTAGAAATATTCCACCCAGTAAATGAAGGAATTATAGGGTTAGTTTGTCACTATTTTGTAAACTTCTAATGAAATAACAAAGCTAGGCAATAATCATCAATAGCTACTAACATATTTTAAGAGACAACCTGATATGTGTCTCCTGATGAAACTTAACAACACTACCAATGAAGATTTCTTTGCAAACAAAGAATTTCAGTCTGAATCATTAAGTTCTGTAAAGTATCACGTTACAGGAAAGACAAGGATCAGAGGAAGATGTGAAATGCATCATGGGAACGCAATGAGCAAAATCCAATAAATGGAAAACTCTAAGAGCAAACAACCTGGTTTCTTCAACAACAAAAAGTGATTTAAAAAAAAGAGAGAGAGAGAAGGGAACGAGAGATTAAAAGAGATTCATGAGCCATATCAACAAAATGCAAAGCTGTGGACCTTGTTTGGACCCTGATTCAAATAAACAGATTGTACAAAAAAAAAAAAAAAAAAAAAGGAGACCGTCAGACAATTGGGGAAATTTGAACCCTGTCGTGGCCATTCTCCAGGATGTCCCCCCAAGGATCCTTGGCCCTGAGTTCACACCCTTATGTAGTTCCTTCTCACACTGAAGTAGGGCTGGCATATGTGACCAAGGGAATACTATAGAAATGTGTGTGACTTCTGAGGCTAGGTCATAAAAGACACTGCAGCTTCCCCCTTGGCTTCTTGGAACCCAGAGTGGGGAGACCAGTCACAGCTTCTGAAGACACTCAAGCTGCCTTGTGGAGAGGTCCTCGTGGAGAGGTTCTGAGCCCCCTGCCAATAGCCAGCACCAACTTGCCAAACACTGTGAATGAGCCACCTTGAAAGTGGACCCTCCAGCACCTGTCAAACTTTCAGTAATACACGTTTGGAGCTCCTGTGGACCCAAAGGTGGTATTTGGGCCTGGCATCCCTTCCTTGCCCTAGGCTGGGCCCTGCCCTACTCTACTTTTCCTGGTAGAGATGGGCTTGGCCAAGAACGTCCCAGTCACTCCAGCGTGGCCCCCGCCTCGCAACAAGCATCTGGCTCGAGCGTCAAGCCGTCATTCACCTAGAGCCTGCATCTCGAGCACTCCCATCCAGGTGGAGCGCTCTCTACAGCCAACCCTACCATCAGGGAAACAGCTGGAGGGTCCCAATCAGACCCAGGATTCCGATCCCTGCGCTCCTCCCCTTGGCATTGTGCGGACCCCTATGAAGACCAGCACCAGCAAAACTCCAAGCCCACTGGTGAAGCAGCTGAGGGAAGTATTTGAGACCAAAGCCCTCAAATCAAATCTTTCCCCAGAGCCTGTTCTGACCCTGGAGACATTTTCATCTTCTGAATTGGCCTTGCCTCTGGGCACTCAACTATCCCTTGAGGACCAGATGCCACCTCTGAGCCAAACTGAACTCCTCTCCAAACAGGTATTTTCAAAGGAGGAAGCAGGACAGCTCACAGAAACCCCTGTGGCCAGCCAGGGCTCAGACAAGCCCTTGAGAGACCCTGAGACTCCCTGATCTTCAGGTTCTAAGTGTAACAAACAGAAGCCAAACGACAAGGTACTAGGGAGATCCCCGTTCAGCACCCTGCAGGATGACAACTTCCCTGGGACCCTGACACCATGACAAGGAAAAGCGACACTTTCTCTTGGTAGAGAAGCAGGTCCTGCTTGGCCCCGGCACTGGAATCACCTGGGGCCTAGTGATGTCCTATGTCCTCTCACCCCTTCTTTCCCTGGGGTACTGAGAAACGGCTTGTTTTCTTTGACTCCTTTTAAAACTACCAACTCTGAGACTGAAAATTTGACTGGGCCTTCTTTGTGTCTTGTATGTTTCTCGTATATTAAAGGAAGTGATTTAAAATGTTTTTAAATGTTATACTTTAAAAAAAACAAACAGTAATACATTCAACGAGAAAATTAGGAAGGACACAAAGGGAAAAAGAAAATCACCGGAAATCCCATGGCTCAGAGATAAGCGTTGTCAATATTGGTGTTTGATCCTCTGCTCTATACAAATATACATGTGTGTGGTTTACCTAAAAAAATAAAAAATTCCCAGAAATCCATAATCAAACCGGGAGCAATCAACTTGAAAAACAGGTAAAGGACAGCAACAGGCAATTATAATAAGGGAATGTAGAAAGTCCAAACAATCAGGAAAAGATAAGCTCACTAGCACTCAGAGAAATGCAAATTAAAACAATAAAATACCAAACTGGGTCCATCAGACTGAACATGTGTCAAAATTCTGTCACCATAGATTATAAACAAAGATGGTGAAAATGGTGGGACTGTACATTTTTGTAGCCTTTTGGGAGGTTCATTATCTCTATTAAAATTTAAAATGCACACCCCCAGTGATCCAACAATTCCATTTCTCAGAACTACCTGTGAATAAGCACAGGTTTTAAGAACAAATCAGTCTTGTCAAATTCATGTCCACCTAGTGCCAAAGAAAGGAGCCCTGGTGGGGCAGCGGTTAAGCACTCGACTGCTAACCGAAAGGCTGGTGGTTTGAACCCACCAGCCATTCCACAGGAGAAAGATGTGGCAGTCTGCTTCTGTCAAGATTACTACAGCCTTGGAAACCCTATGGGGCAGTTCTACTCTGTCATATAGGGTCACTATGAGTCGGAATCGACCCAACAGCAACAGATACTACCAAAGAAGTCTTCATGATTAGAGTGACACTCGAGCTCAAGACAGCAAATGCGTCAAATCTTCAGTATGGAATCTCCTTTCTTCCCTTATTTGCATTGGTTCTACCTAGATTCACCACCTGCACACTCTTCTTTAAGATCTTCAGACCACTAAGGAAAACCAGGCAATTATAAGATAGAGGCGGTATAAGAACAAAGCAATAAAACATGAGTTTTTTCCCCTCCAGCGTAAGTCACCTTAGAAACCAAAACTCCTATTCCCTTGTTCAA